TTGAAATACGATATTTTATTGAACGTATGTGATGCTTTACCTTTTAGCATGCTATTGACTTGAAGATTGATCAATTTGACTAAAAAGTTTATTTTCGCCTTAACTTGGCTCCACGATATCAGAATTTTTTTTACCAGTTCATAATAACTATTGCATTGTCGAGTAACTGATACTATGCAGTTGTTTTGCATTTCTGGATGGCAGTACATAATACTAATTCCATTAAAAGTTTTAAGTATTTATTTCAACCAAATAATATTTTTCTCCACCGAATGCTATCTTATTCATTTAAAAATTTATTGTTTAAATGTTTTAAGGACTTCATTTCTATGATACTGTTGTAATTATTCAATAGAAAAACTTTCGTTTTTATTTGCTACATTTAAATAGGTTTTAGGTTGAATAATATCAATTTTTTTTCTATTCTTCCAATGCGAAGGATGAAGAGAAAAAAGGGAACATTTAGTCGAAAGATTATTGAATGGAAAAAATTAGTATTTTGCTGATAAGTTCTTTATTTGTATTAAGAATATTAGCAAGATGTATTATGTTAAACATAAATGGTAAAAATATGGAGAAAAAACTATTAGAAGCTAATGAGAAATAGAGTTACCTCCATGAAATTTTAATAGCAATAGATTAAGCAAATAAGGATTAAGAAAAATAGAAAGCGATAATCAGTAATCAGTAGTAGAGTCTTAATAGAAAGAGGGACAAAAAGAGAAGTAAATTAAAATTAACATTAAAAAATATTTTTATCAAGACTCAATATATTTATATAATAAAGAAGGCTTAAATAAAAAATAAAATAAAATTACCTGCAAAAAAAAAAGCAATTGAACTACAATAAAGGAGATGACTATGATATTCATCTTATTTGAAGATTATGAAATCTACACCGCCTAACTTATAAATCCAGATAATCCCTATATTTTCAATATATTTCTAACAATAAATTGCATGTACAATTAAATGTTCGACCCCTTTTACACTTTTATTTTCAACATTTTATACTTGGTATTTTAAGTCTTAAAAAATAGTCTTCTTCTCATATCCCTACCCCATCTAAATTTTTTTTATCAGAATTACATAAGAACGAACAATAAAACTGTATAATTGAAAACTCCATGTACAATATGTGCTTTCAGCAGAGAGATTATTTTTTATTAATTGAAACTTGACATGACATTACGATAAGTATTACAACTAAAGGTACCTTTTTTTACTTTGAAATAAGAGAAAATTTGCTTGTTCAAACATGATTGAAAATAAAATATCACTTAAAAGTAACTTTTACTTATGTTTAAACACAGGTGAACGTGCTCAAATTTTTGTTGATTGCTGTATGATCTCAACTTTAAACAAATATCTCAAGCTTTATTTTCTTGTACAATGATGGAATTCTCACTATACCAGTGGATATTTAGATCTGTACATAAAGTAACATTTAATTAAACTCTAGAAAGTCCAAATTATGGAGTATAAAGTAGAATTATTTATGAAGAAACACAAAACAATAAGCCTTGGCAGTATAAAAGCCAAATATATGGAATAAGCTCTTCAGAAGAGAAGAATAATTTATTTTTCAGGGGGACATGGGAGCTGAAACATTCACGCTTACTTTCGAATAGTAGTTAGCTTTTGGTGTTGAATTCTTATTGGTACGGCAAATATGTCTGATATCTCACCATGCTTATAAGTTTATTTATCGGGCAAGCAAGCTAGAGTTTGTTTGGGAGAGATTTTGTTCTTAAAAATTATTTTTTTCCCAACATAACTTATGGGATCCATAATTTTTTTCTCGAACAAATGATTAATTTTAAAATAAGTTATTGGTCAAAATCGAAATAAGAAATTTATTATAATATAATGTATCGAAAGTTGTTTTAATAATGAGAGAAAAAATGGTCATTTTACAATAAGATGTTCTAATCATTTTCTCAAGAACGTAACTTTATGTTTTCAGTTAACCGACATATATACATGCTTCCACACAATTAAAAGGTACAAATTTCAGTAAAACACAATCCTGTAAAGAGGAAAAAATTAAATCGAAGTGTGTATCAACAAAATTTACACTAACAAATACGACGCACTCTATTGATGACATTGAATAGTAAGCTACCAAACGGAAAATGGATAAAAAAACCATCATGCGAACCATATTTAAAGATTTTATTATTTTTTATCAATCCACGGCGATGAATATATGAAAAAATATTATATCCATATACATAGTAGCTTGTAGGATAGTTAACTAAATTACAAATATGCATACAGGAAAAGTCGATAAAAGAGAAAGAATAAATCAAATACAGTTTCGAAAAATTAAACATAATACAAAAAGAAAAAGCGTGAGAAGAACATACTTGAAGGCGACACTCTAATGTTCTCGATTTGTTGTAGATTTTCACCAAAGGTTGAAGAAGGTGGACTCAAAAGTTATTAATTTTGTGATCAATAAAAATTTATTTATCGGATCAAAATTTTTTTTGAATGTATACTGAATTGGTTTCGTACTACAGTTACTTTGTCTATGTGTGGTAAGAAAATATTTTTGAAAATTGGAGCAGTTTTATGTGGTAAGAAAGCCAACAACACACGCATTTTGCTTTTTTTGTCCACCCGTGAGTCTCATTTATTGATGTATGGGCAAGTGTCTATTGATTTAAAATTCTCCACTTCGAAAATCAGTGTCATGGGGACACGCGTGAGGGAAAAACAAAACAAAAGGAAAAATATCTTGATTATTTTAATAGTAATTGGGGATTTGAAAGGGAAAACAGTGAATTTTGATGTTGAAAACGATGCCTACCCAGCGAAGCTTGTAACCATGACGTGCGTGTCGAAAAGAGCTTTTCGAATTGGGGTCATGAGCAAGATTCTGATAACCGCAGCCAAAGTTATTACCAAATTATCAAAAATACGTTTCGAAACAAAAAAATAATAATAATAATAATAAATTTTAAGACTCCGCGCAATGCGGAGTGTTGGGGGAACACTTCGCGCAGCGCCCAATGCGGAGTGTCGCTAACACGATACCATTCTCATCCTGAAAATATTAATTTCATCAAGATCTTCCTTTTGTTAAAAGTCAAAAAGGATGCGAACATGGGAAAGAAAAGACAAAACCACGGTGGCTACCTGTGTTGGATACATTGAACCCGTTGGCAAGCCCATGTTTGATGTAATATCTCTGTATTCACGAAGAGTGAACTTCTCTGTAGCAGGGCAGAAGTGGACACTCTTAACAACCTTGGGCCGCACAACAGAACCTATACACGGCATGATATGTGGATAAGATACATGCATCGAAACAGCATCATTAAAATTGCCTCATTGAAATTATTAGCTAGCATAAATGTAGATTGTATTCAGCACATATGCCAAGTACTCTCGTTCAGAATTAAAAGGAGAACTCTGTTTTTAGATAAGGATCTTGAAAGAACAAAATAATCAGCTGCATTGCATTAGATTGCAGGAAGAAAAAAAATTTAATCAGCTTCATAACAGCATTTATTACTTCTAAACTTGATCTCCGATAAAGGATTTTCTTAGGCTGCATCTTGATATCAGCTGTTTTTAGTCTACTGAAGTAAAAGTACACATACAAGACCATTGAAAAGATGTAGTGAAAGCTCCTATAGTAATGTAAATGCTGCAAGTTGAGATATACTGGTTTAAAGAACATAAAAAGAAGAAAATATTAGGTAGCTTTTTCGAACATGAAAGGTAATATTTGATGAACCATCAGGATTAAAAACCGCAATCGTTTCTCCAGTTCGCCTCCTTCATTGTAAGATTAGTAAAAACATCCTACTGTACTTGATACTGAACTACAAAAATCTTACTAACTTTGCTTAGCATTATGGTTTCAAAATGAACAAGATGTTAAGGTTCCAACATTGGCTAATATTGACAAATAGTTTAGAAGTTCCAACCCAGAAATGTAAGAAAACAAAGGTCATCGACTCGTCGTTCTCTCTAAAAAGAACATAATGCATTCTTTCTACCTGCATCTGTTGTTCCGGCCTGGGACTGATATATATTTTCAAACACCATTATCTCAATTGCTTTTAGTTTCAAACAACTTGAAGATGCTAGAGTTAATTAAAAATACTTTACCCTACTGGAGAAATAAAGTTGTTTAAAGTCCATTCCCGAGAAATCTTATGCTAATTACTAATAGTAGATCATCAGAATTCAAAACATTTCTATACTATCTAAATAATGAAACAAGCACAAACTGCATCAAATTTTTATAATTAGATGAAGTGAACAGGAAAGTTTCAAGTGCAAATGAAACGTACATTTAAGGGAGTGTATTCAATTTAAACTTTTAATGACTTTTTGAGATTTAAAAAGTTTAGGAGCATTTAATTGAGACTTTTTGAGATTCTCTAAAAGTCACGGCATATTCAATTGAAACTTTTATAGACTTTTAAAAAGTCTCTAAAAGTTACGATGTATTCAATTAAAACTTTTTGGAAGTTTTTATAAATTTTGGAGTATTTAAATTTTAATGATTTCTAGAGTAAAGTCTCTGGAGTACTAACTTTTAACCAGAAAGTATTCATATAACTTCTTAAAATTTGTCTCCCAGTAATCACGAGACTTTGTGAGATTTTTTTTTTCCATGGACATTTATGATTAAAATTTATTTTTTCTATTGATTATATTCCATTCATCTTTCTTTCTCTCTCTAATTATTTTTCTCTATTTTATATGAAAAAATTAAATTGGATTCTTGTAACTTCCTTTTTCTTTTTCATTTATTTTTTGTGAAAAATATCTATTTTTTTATTAAATTATAAAATTTTATATGAAAAATTTATGATTAAATTTAAATATATTAATTTTTATTTATTTTTAAAAGTATACTATACTAACGCCTCTTTTGCGAGAATTCACACCAGAATTTTATTTCAAATGAAAGTCCCCAAAAATCTTTTGAATTTCACGAAAGTCTATAAAAATTTTAAAATGAAAATCCATAGAGGTTTATCGAAAGACTTCCACTAATTCCATATAAATCTATAAAATATCCACGAAATTAAAAAAAGTCCATCAAAGTCTTTAAAAATCACAATTGAATACAACTCCCTTAGTTACAAGAGAAAAGCTATTCGTATATGTCCACCCTCATGTGAGAAACCCTGTACAGGCTCTGTGCAAATAGGTCTGTACAAGGAATTTATTCCTAGTTACAATCCCCTCAACGCAGACCATGGAACCAATAAACCCCGACAAGAGTTCTCTGGGGGTTACCCTCCGTGAAACAAAAGGGCCCTCTAATCCGACCATTATTTGTTCTCCTTCCTTCAAGTACTTGGCATTCATGCCCCGAACCATGTCAGTCACAGAATCGCAAAGTGGCTGCACGTATTCGCTTGGGTTTTGCAGAAGCCTAGCAATTTTAACACATAACACGGGAAAAAAAAATTCGTTAAAAAACATTTCACCTAAACAATGCATCAAATGCATTTATATTTTAAACGTATAAACAGATACACGTGTGTTCGTACCTGCGAGCCAAATCGGAGCCTTCCCCGAAGTGGTAGAAATGCGCGAGATTGATTATACACCGGCGGCGATTTTGAGCGAACATTTTGTCAAATGACTTTTTGAGCTCCACATTTAGTTCTTGAAAATCAATTAACGAAGTTTACTTGCTTATGCACAAAAAAAAATTTACATATTGAAATTAGACATTTTTGAGTCTTACAGTTTGTTCGAAAAACTTCAGGAAAGTTCGCTTGTGCGCAGTCTTGACTTCGTCGCTCAGATCCATTGGTTCTTCTCCTATGATTCGGATCTGTCACTATGAGTAAGTTCCTGTGAATTGATTTAGAGAGAATTTTGTTCTGTAATTTGCATTGAGGCCTTGGGGATTTGGCGGGAAACAAATTGGGTGAACACTCCGCGTTTCTTTGCGAACGTAAACTGTAGCTTTTATAAACTCCTCCTTAGCGACTTTAAGATCATGGAGTACATTGTTTGCCGTGTAAAGCCGAACCTGCATCCAGTCAAGTCCAAATATAAGGTCACAAAGGAAAGGAAAAGGAGAATGACCCTTTCCAGAATGAAAAAGTATAAATAAAAGTCTTACCGCAGGGTCCGAGTCTGCCCTTGAACAAAGCGCAAAATGAACAAGCAATTCAGGGTATTCAATGGCATAAGGATGATTGCCGCTCCCCGTCTTGAACTTTTTTCCAGGAGAGAGAAGTGTCTGAAGCCACTGTATCCATGCATTTCGTTTGTGTCAATCAAGACATTAAATATGTAACAATTTACAAATTAAATAATAATAATTCAGTCATGATCATCCTACTTAGTGCAATGATCAAAAGAACAAGACTGACTGAACTTCAATGAACAGTCTTTACATGCATATTTTATGCATGTGCAATTATTTATGTGAAGGCATATTAATCAACAGGTATATACCGGTGTAGAATAGTGCGGCCGGATTCCCAAAATGGAGCTTTGTATGTCATAAGCATTTATGCTATGTCCATCCACATTATAAGCTGCCTGAGAGAAAACTTTCACTTGAAACAATCGGAATTACGTAATAAATCCTCTACAAAGAGATTGAAGAAATAAGACTCGTTACCTTCATAATGGAAGTACTTTTTATGTAGTTTTGAGTTCCGTATGCCAAATAAGCCTGTAAGAAAGACAAAATATTGCACAGGATAAATTTAGGTTTTGAGTTTATAGGCTCATATCCAGTAGGCTTTCATAGTAACTAGATAGAAGTACTGCAAGCCATACATGCATCACCAA